TTTTGTGACTTTATTAACATGTTTTAGCTCTGTTTTTGGCTGGCTTGGCCATTTCTTGCATGCTTCTTACACTTGTAGTGTAAATTTTGCTTACTAGCTTAATATGCTTGCTATTTTGACCCATTGCTCTAGCTTGTTTTTGATCTATTTTAGCATGTTTTTGCTCTTATTTTAGCATGCTTGAACTCTGTTTTGGGTGGTCTTGATCATTTGGGACTTGCTTTGTATAGCCATAATGCAATCTTGCTCACAAGCTTTGAGTTTTAAAATCTTTAGCATGCTTTACTTGAGTTGTGTGGATGCTTTGGCCTCATTTCTCATATGATTTCAGTGTATATAGTGTAGTCATACTCTCCTACGTTTCACTCTTTCAATGCTTTTAGAGAGTTGTGCCTTATGTCTTGATCATGGGCTAGTTTGTATGCATGCTTGCCTAAGCTTTTGGACTATCATCTCAGCATGTTTTTGGTCTTATTTTATCATGATACAACTCTGATTTTGGTTGATGGAGTTACCTCTTGTTTGGTTTTGATACTTGTATTGTAATCCCACTCATTAGCCTTACATGCTTAGTGTTTTGGCTTACCATTCTAGCTTGTTTTGGCTACACTCTATCATGTTTTCAGCATTGTTTTGACCTACCTCAAGACTGTTTTAAGTGATATTGGTCATTTGGGGCTTGCTTGATATGGCTATGGTGTAAGTGCTTTAGCTAGTCTTGAGTTTTAAACACTTTTAGCATGCCATACTTGTGTTGTTTGCATGATATGTCATCATTTGGTATGCAATTTCAGTGCCTACATCTCTGCCATACTCTCTTGTTTATCACTTCTTCATTGTGTTTGAGAGTTGTGTTTAATGCCTAGCTTGCGAGCTGATGCATAAGCATGTTGTTATAGCTTTTGGTGTTTCATTTTTAGCATGATTGTACCATTGTTGTGGCATGAGGTAGGTTTGACCATTTGAGATTGATGATGCATGCCTCATGTGTCCTTTACTTGCTTTAATGCTCTTAGCCCCTTATCATGTCTTGTATGCATTGCTCGCATGATAGCGCCTTGTGCATGCCACTCTAGCATTGATAGATGAGCACGTTGTTTGCATGTGTGTTGCATTGCATTGTGTTTGGATCGGACGTTGATCCAAACACAAGAAATGAGGAGCGTTTCATACTTGAAGTGATGAAACGTGCCTCATTTATTTGTCGTCGTCCCCTTTGATTGTGCATGATAGGGTGGAGGCCTCTTGAGTCTTATGTGTTATTTGTGCATTCATTAATATGTACAAACTTGGCTTCTCGGCCATTGTGCATTGCGATGCTCGGTTGGTGGCCTGAGAGTCGAGTACCGCACTCCTTTTCCCTTGTTGAACTCTGTTTGCAGCAAATTGAAAGTGTACAGAAACAACTGGTCAACCGGCCAAAGGAAGTGGCCGACCGGCCACTTTGAGTGGCCTATAACCGCCTTAAGTGGTCAACAAGTGGCCTACAGCCTCCTCTGGTGGTCGACAGTCCACCAGCTTGAAGATGGTTCAAAGTGATTCTGGTTCTGGAGCAGAAGCAATCTAGGAATTTGTTCAGTATTCAGGAATCAAAGCAAATGCAAACAGAGGCAACCGGTGGCAAGGCGACGGATTTCAGGAGGAAGCAATCGAGCATGCATACGTTCCTCGCCCCGAGGCTCCTTTTAACTGCTTTACTTAGATGGTTATTTTGTTGGTTCTGTACTTAAATAGTTAATGTGCTTAGTTATTCATTTGTGTTGTAATTAGTTAACTAGTTAGTTAATTAGTTATGATTTGTAATAGTTAGCTTAATTAGCATAGCTAGTTAGCTTATTCATTCGGACCCTCCGTCGAGAGGGCAAATGTAGTAATAAGGGTGCGTGAGTGTGTGCACGTCTTCCAACCCCACGTCTTCCAACCCCACGTCTTTCTTCCTTTTATTTAACTGCTTTCGATGGTTAGATTAGGGCATATTTCGATTAGCATACCTTATGCTCGCATGTTTGCATCCATTTATCTGTATTGCATGCACCGGGCTCGGCGCATCATTCAAACTGTATCGTATTTCAATGCACTTACTTGAATACGTGTTTCAAAGCATGTTATCAAGTGTTGCATTCATATGCCATTTTAGATAGTCGAGCCTATTTAGTCACATTATTGCATGTGTTGCATTAGGCATCTGGTATAGTTAGGATCATGCATTGATTTCTAACTAGTTCTCTGTTTTGGCTTGGAGTACACTGTAAGTGTTTACGCTTTAGCATACTTTCATGTGTGTGAGTGTTGCCATGATAGCATGCTTGCCATGAGGCTATTTGATTAAGTGATTAATTGCATGAATGTCTGTGCATGAAGGCTTTATTACTTGAATTGGAACAATTCATCAAATGTGAGTTTTAAGCCCACTTGAAGTGGCAAATCATGTTTTAAATCCACTTGAGGGTGGCAAATCCACGCTTTAGCTTACTTGCGAGTAGCAAATTCAAACCATTTTTGAAAACAAACACGAGATGTTTTGTTCCAGTTTGAGCGATTTAGTCTATACTTGTGTGTTGTGCGCATCACATAGTAAGTTAGTTAATAACCGGATAAGAACACATGAGGTTTATAAAACAACGTATCATGTTAGTAAAGGCCGATCCTTTGATCGGGCGAGTGGGGGTGCTCATTTTATGACATTCCCCTCTCGTACCCAAGTTCCCGAGCTGAGGCAACTTTGGTGATGACGGACACGTTGCCTTTGGCACGAGTCAGGGTTTCCTAAATTTTTCAAAAATAAAATATTTAGGTGGTGACTCTGTAATCTGGCAAAGCAGTCCAGTTTGGCATTTTTTATTCAAAATCTGATTTTCCAAAACGATTTGCCGGATTTGACTCTTTGGTGATTTATCAGTCTTACATTGCACTTTGTGAGATTAGATTCAGAACCGTGACAGGAGTCCAAACTGTAGTAGCTATTAACCCAATTCGCGCCCTCTCCGAAAGCGGGGCGCGCGGAGAATGTTCGGGCGGTCTACAGTGAGAGGTTGGACAAAGCTTTTGCCTCGGTGGATTGGTGAGCTAAGTTTCCTTATGCACAAGTATTCCATGAAAACATCTTTGGCTTAGATCATTGTCCCTTGGTTGTTAATTGCTGTGTCCCTCCTAAAAGAGTCCCTCGTATGTTTAAATTTGAATCCATGTGGGCTTCTAGTCCAAATTGTGGGGATGTTATAAAAAAGGCTTGGGCTTCTCCTCAATCTGGCTCTCCAATGTTTCAATTAATCCAGCATTTGAAGTCCTGCCGTCTTGCCTTGTTACCTTGGAGTAGGCGTGAATTTGGCAATAACAAAAAACAAATTGCAGAGTGCCAAATCCAGCTGACTCATCTTCAAAGCCTTGCTCCCACACCTCAAAATTGTCTAGCCCAAGCTTCTATCCAGTCCCAATTACACAAGTTTTTGTCTCGAGAGGAGATGTTTATTCACCAACGGTCTCGAGTTAATTGGTTATCTTATGGGGATAGGAACACGGCCTTTTTTCATGCAACCCTCAATCAACGCTGGCAAAGAAACCAATTGGTGCGCCTCAAGGATGACAATGGGGTGTGGGTAGATTCTGATGAGGACATAAACAGTCATTTGCACTCTTACTTCACTGATTTGTTCTCTTCTGTTGGTACTCGGAACATGGAGGAGGCCTTAAGTGTAGTGGATTGTGTTCTCACTACCGAGATGAACTCTCAATTAACCAGGGCAGTGACGGGCAATGAGATCAAATCAGCGGTGTTCCAGTTAGGCTCTATCAAAGCCCCTGGCCCAGATGGGTACCCGAGATTTTTTTACCACTAGTATTGGGCAGAGATTGGGTTTAAGGTTTGTAAGGCAGTTCGTAGTTTCTTTGAGGGTGGGTTTCTACTGAAAGAGTTAAACCAAACAAATTTGGTTTTGATTCTGAAGATTCATGCCTCGGAGTCTCTTTCGCAGTACCGACCAATCAGCTTATGTAACTTTACCCTCAAGATCATCACCAAAATTCTGGCAAATCGTTTAAAAGAAGTTCTATGTGAGATTGTTTCACCAAACCAATCAGCCTTTGTTCCCGGACGCTTGATTCAAGATAATATTCTGGTAGCTCATGAAGCTTTTCACTATCTTAAATTGCTCAAAAGGGGTTGTCATTCGGATATGGCTGTGAAACTTGACTTTAACAAAGCATATGATTGGGTTCAATGGGATTTCCTTGAGGTGGTTCTACGTAAGATGGGCTTTAATGATTAATGGGTTAACTGGGTGATGCAATGTGTCTCAACAGTTTCTTTTGTGGTGGTTGTGAATGGGGCTGTGCGAACGACCTTTACACCCTCTAGGGGCATCTGGCGAGGGGACCCTCTCTCTCCTTACCTTTTCTTACTTGTGATCAAGGTGTTATCCAAGCTACTTCAAAAAAGTTTGGAAGCAAACCGACTCTCTAGAATTAAGCTCAGTCGAGGTTGCCCTTTGCTATCATATTTGTTCTTTGCTGATGATGCTCTTTTATTTCTCAAAGCGGATGTGGTACACTGTCACAAGATCCTCAGAATTTTGGATGTTTACGGTCATGCTTCGGGCCAAAATCTTAATCTTGATAAGTCTAGTGTCTAGTTCTCCGCTAACACTAGTGCAGAGACTCAAAAACAAATTTGTGATGTTTTATGTATAGCCCTTGTTAAACCCGATTCCAAGTATTTGGGTTTGCCAACTTTCTGGGGGAGATCCAAGCGGGAGATCTATAATTTCATTATAGAGAGGATGCGTAACAAACTGCAGGGTTGGAAACTTAAGCTCTTATCCCAAGTGGGTCGGGAAACTCTTCTTAAATCGGTTGCCCAAGCCATTCCATCATATGTGATGGCTTGTTTTCTTTTCCCAAAGAATCTGTGTGCTGAATTGAATTCGTTGTTGAGCAATTTCTGGTGGAAAGGTGACCCCGAGAGCAAAGGTATTCACTGGGCAGCGTGGGACAATATGACCATGCCCAAACTCCATGGAAGAATGGGATTCCGCGATTTTCGTTCCTTTAATAGAGCTTTGTTAGCTCGTCAAGGTTAGTGGTTGATTCGATATCCCAACTTCTTTTGTGCTCAAATTTTCAAAGGTCGATGTTATCCTACTACAGATTTTTGGAATGCCAGGAAAGGTCCTCGGGTGTCGTGGGTGTGGTCCAGCATTTTGGAGGGCCGTGAGGTGTTAAACAGGGGGTCCGATGGCAAGTTTATAATGGAAAGTCCATTAACTTTTGGGATGATAAATGGGTAGCTTCCTCTCCAGATTTTCGTGTTCAATCTCGGAACCCACAGGGTGTCAATTAACTTCTGTTAGTGATGCTATTAACCCCAATAACAATTGTTGGAGAAGAGATGTGCTGCAAAATGTGATCTCTAAAGAGGAGGCTGGTGCTATTTGCACTTTTCCCTTTGCGACTGAAAATCAAGAAGATCGGCTCATTTGGCATCATGATCCGAAAGGCATCTATTCTGTTAAATCTCGGTACCGAGTGGCAGTCCAATATCAGTAGCATCATTCCGAGAACAGACTATCTTCTTCCTTTCAGATGCCTGACTATGTCTGGAAATTCTTATGGGCCCTCCCAATTCCTCCTAAGCTTCGACACTTTTGGTGGCGGGCTTGTAACAATTTGTTGGCATCCAAAGCTAATATTTTCTGGCGTAAGTGTGCCCAAGATGATTTATGTCCCATTTGCCATTTGGAATCTGAAACGGCAGAACAAGTGCTTTGTGGTTGTGATTGGACACGGCCAGTGTGGTTCTGGAGCAATTGAACATCACTCACAGATCTGGTTTCATCCCCTACAAGAAAAATTCATTGTTACGGCGCTTAGAAAAAGATGTTTTTTGAAAAACGTCTTCATTTCTCGTTTTCCAAGACGCGTGCCTTCGCTGATGCTTAACCTTGCCAATTAATTAATGAGTTAAAAAAAGAAAAAGAAACAAACCTCTGCCACTCAAACCTAATAGAATATAACTTTTATTTCCAAACATCAGAGTCACAGATTCATTACCCTCTCCCCTCTCTTTCTCCTTCTCCAACATTATTCTCTCTCTAAAATGGCATGAATGAAGCTCTCTTTGTAGATATTGATGAAGCAACTGATGATGAAGATTTCAAGTAATTCTATTGTAGATCAAAACCTTAGATCTTTTATCTCAATCGTTTTTCATTATTTTTTTATTTTGAAATCTTGTTTTGTGCACTCAATTTGACTAATTTTTTTCGAGATTATTCGATCTCTCTTCGATATTGTTCGATCTCCCTTGATTTGACCAATTTTCTTCAAGATTGTTCGATCTCCCTTGATTTTCATTTATCTAGGGTTTCGTTCTACACGGCGCTGAAAAAATGCAGTGGATCTTTTTTAAAGGACTTTTCAATCGGTACTCGCTGTGTTCACTCGAGATTCAGAGATTTTCATGACTGCACAGTAGCAATCTAGATCTGTTTTGATTTACATTCTATTAGTTTGATTTCATTCGATTGACTGAAACGGTTGCTTAGGATTTCGATTTCCATTGTTGATCTAGGTGCTCTTCTCTTTTATTGGTCTGACTCAAGCTTGTTTTGGATGATTTTGATTTCGATCTATGTTTTTGTTTTTCTTAGGTATCGGATCTATAGCTCTTTTATTTGTTTTAGTTCTCTCAGGTAGTCAGCTTCAATGGTTTTGATCTGTAACTGTATTTTATTTAAATAGTTTTATTGTTTGTTCTACAAATAGGTAGCATAGAAGATTTATATATTTTCTCTCACTCTCTGTGTTTCCTCTTTTTAAGGTTTTTATTTGCTAAAAGATGATTGAGCCTTTTGGGATGAAATATGTTTTAAAGTTGATATTAAATAAATTAAGTTATCATTTTCACCAAATAAGGGTCAAAAGGAGGGGTTTTGGCCAAATTTCCCTTATAATTATATGTTTGTGTATGTGTAAGCAAAATAAAAGTAAAGAAGAACCTGTGTACAAATCTGAATGCTCATTTTTTAAATACGCCCAGCCTGAAAAGGCCTCTACTCTACTTGTTTAGGCCCATGGATAGAAAGGATATGCATGTAAGTGTTGTGCTCTCATTCGATGGACTCGTTCATTTTTATTTTATTTTTTTTTGTATATTGTTATGTATTTACATGTTTGATGTATATTAGTGGGATGCATCTAATGGCTTTTCATTAATTCTACTTACAGGGTGGTTCCCAAATCTCATCTAACTTCTTACCTTATTCCCAATCTTGGAAGTGAGAGAGAATGAAGTAGTATCCTACCAGAGAGATTTGAAGAGCCTCAGAAAGATGAAGGTTAGTTAAAAGTCACTTGGAAGATTTAACATGTGCCCGTATTATTGCCAAGGCCAAACTGAGAAAACAATGTTAGGGATTTGTTATTTTGTGTTTCTTAACTTTCTTGTGTTACATATTTCCTGTCTGGATAAAGAATGCATGTAATCAAGATTTGGGAACTTCCTAAAAATGCTAGCTTTTTGACTTTTTAATTTTTTTACACAAAAAAGCCAAAAAGTTAGTTTTTTACTAACTTCTCAAAGCACCACATAAATTTTTGCTTCATGGTACCATAACCACTGTTTTACGGATCTCTGCAACTCTTCTACTACAAGGGACCGTATCAATTCTTATAGATTTGTTTCACAGTACTAACTCTGCATCCAACTTCCAAGACAAACGCTATTATTTATTTATTTATTTTACTTTCTTTTTAACAATCATTTACTGTCTTGTGTTAATATTCAAGATTTTTTGAATGAGTTATCTTGACAATTTGCTCCATTGCATTTATGTTGAAAAATAATCAACTTACCATAACTTTCTTGCAACCTGGTTCAATATGTCACATTCTTTTACACTTCTAACAAATTGAAATAACTAAATATCATAATCTATATCAATGCTACTAACAAAAGATTCAATAAGAGAAAAGATATACTTTACGCTTAGACCTTTTTCATATATTTGTGAAAAATTTAATCCCTCAATCTAATTATATAAATGTTCTAATTTTAAACATTTATTGATTTAATTTTGAACTTCAACATTTTCTCACAATTAAACTTCCATTTTAAAATATATTAATACCAACATTAGTATTATTAATATGAAACATGTGCAACACTTCATCATTTACAGACTTTGAAAGTGTCAGGATGGAATTGATCAAAAATACTTTTTGTTGTGTTTGGATCATGGATTGTGGAAGGGATTTGTGAAGGGAAAGGAAAAAGGGTTTCCTTTCGCAAATTTCTATTCGAATTCATGATTCAAACATAGCCTATAATAATCTATTAAGTGTAATACAATGGAGTATTGAATATGATTTTTAAAATATAACTAATACAATATTCCAATATTTAACTCTTTAATTATTCTAATGGAGAAGATGTAGAGGGGAAGACCTAAGCTGACATGGGATGTGGTAGTTAAAAAAGATATTAATTTATTTAATTTAACCGAGCATATAGCCCTTGGTAGAGTAGAATGGCAAAAAAAAATTCATGTAGCTGACCTTACTTGATTGGGACAGAAGGCTTAGTTTGATTTGATTTGCTATATGTAATCCATGTCTCTCTTTGTGTACAAAAGCACCCAGATACATATACACGTGCCTATTGGGGTTCTTCATAAATTAGAACTCGTTTTACTAGATTGTGTAGCTATTGAAACAATTCTATTCTATTTTTTAAAGATGAAATGGATGTGGAAAAAAAAAATTGTTTAGAGAATAAGAAGAGGACAATTCAGCTTTAGTTCATGTTAATTTTGTTAGGAGAAAATATTTAAAGTTTGAGGTTATTTTTCTTGCATTGTAAGTTCATTGATTTTAGAGCGTTCTTTAATGCGAAGAATGCTTAATTTAGGTGTCACATGATCTTTAGTGCCATTTGGAGTGCATCATACTTACCCGTCCCACTATTCTAAATCTAATCATAGCTTTGTTTTAGTTTCTCTGTGCCCTAACCTTGGCCGTTGGAAAACTAGTCGTCAACTACGTTGAGCAGAACCACAAGGTGAGTAGTAAGTAACATTTTAAGCTTCAATTTTACTGTAGAATTACAGATTGGATGGTTATGAACCCTAGTTGTTACTCTTTTTATAGCTGAATTGGATTAGTTCTCTATTGTGGTATTGAGACTTCATTCTTATAGGACAAAATGAAGATCTTTATGGCAAAGTATTACTGTGTGAGATTGCATGCTTTATTCGGTGCTGCTTTGGCAGCTGGACTGGTAGCAGCCAGAACCATCGCTGGAAAATATGTTGACATGATGGTTTTTCTCTGATTTTCCACTCCATAGATTTCAAAATCTGCCTGGTGAGCATACATTTTTGAATTCTTGCTATTATGAGTATTCTGTGAAAGCAATTTTGGCTATACATCAAACACACATGTGCACAATTGACAGTACACTAAAAGTGAATTTTTCAGCAGTGTGCATACCACCTTAGCTAGGTTGTTACTTTTTTGTGTTAATAACTAACAATTAATCATGGTGCTTAAAATTAATAAAAAGAGAGAGGACATAGTGATCATTCAAGCACACATTGGTCCTTCTGCATTGCATTTAATATCAAAGGCTTATTCAAGAACCTAATTAAAGTTTTCATTCTGTTTTTAAAATTCTTGTCCCTCTGTTCCCAACAGAGTCTTAGGCACACACGTGATATGAATTTTTTTTTAAAATATGAGGATCTTAATGTTACATGCTGTTTTTTCAATTGTGATGTCTAATATGTTATAGTAAGGTCTTAAATTTGAAGGAGTGGGTATTTTAAGATTATGGGTGTTGACCTGTAGGTAATATATCCTTAAATATTTGCCACACTAGCATGAGCTTTGCTTTGACAAATATGATGATGATTTGACTCAGAAATTGTTTGAATTTTATTTTGTGTCAACATTAATTAGAGAATTGTGTCAAGATGCGAAGCTACTTCCTTGCAACGTCAATTTCAAGCTATGAAGTTACTGCCTTCCAATGCTAATGATTTCATTGTTATTAATCATTGATTATGTCTATCAAGAAAAAAACTTTAACCATGAGAATCTCTTGGTTGAGAATTTTTATTTTTAAAATTTTTCTTTGTGTTATTATATTGCACTGCTCAAATGCATTAATCTTGTGATGATTTGATTATGAATCAAGAAATATATGATGCCCATTGAGTCCATACCTTTCCATGAAATCATCTACTTTAAGAACGTCGACAAACTTCAAGCAGTAAGTATTTTTGTAATACTGAAACTAAGAAATAGAAATCAAATGGAAAATGTTCACTGACTACTTATTGTTGTTAAGATAGTGCAAAATTTTGGTAACTACACAAGTCATTTAAGAAGCTACATATGAGTTGATAGGTTCTATTGATTTCTATATTATATTTTGATATAATGTGTAAGTAGTTTTATTGTAACGGTGATGGTGTCTTGTCTTCCTCTCCATATCTTTTTGTCCTTTGGGTTAATTTTTATTTCTTTATTTATTTTTTAACGGGAAAAATTTCATTGATAGTTTTATTGTAAGCAAGGGGAACTAAAGTTTGTTGGAAGCCTTCAACCTGCTTCCCAGTGCTGTAAAGAGTACATGATTGGTCTTGCATGTGTTGTATAGCATGCAGTTGATCTCTCCTCCCCCCCCCCTCCATCTTTTTATGCTAGACAAATTCATCCATGCAATTTAAATATCTTGATTTTTTTTTTTTTGAAAATTTTATCTTAAGAACTATTGATGAGCTGTTACTAAACCTAAAATTGATTGGACTTCACAATTTGGTAGGGTTGCTGATTTCGTGGTGGCAAATTCCGATCCTTTCATACCTATGTAAGGAAGTTGTCAACAACCCTTTTCTTGGAGTTTAGTACAACATTGTAATTTAACGTTTTTCTCTTTCTCGCAGAAGTCGAAAGACTCGTAGGTCTTGTCATTTCTGGAAGTGGCTAAGGTATCTTCTTGTCCTTTGCTTATTTGTTCTGTATAGATGGAGTTTTCATATTTTACTTCATATTTTGCTACGAGCACTTGCTGTCGTGAATAAGGATAAATTTACTGCAACACTATGAATAGAGCAAGAAGAAAAAAAAGTTACTCTTAATGTCAAAATAGAACTCATAGAGTAATGATGTCTTCTAGTGACAAACTTGATATGATTTGCAAATTGATTTTGTTTTTCTTTCTTTCTTTCTTGTAAATAATGCAATATAGATGGTACTTGCTATTTATAGATGGTGCTTGCTATTTTATTAATCTTTAATAAAATCTTTGCTTTGTAATCTTTTCTTTAAGTGGCCATTTAAGATGTGAGAACTACTGAGCAGAACAAAACAAATCTGAATTCTGAATCTTATGTATGATGTTGCATTGCTTATTGAAACTCTAGGAAAATAAAATTCATGGAAGCAAACTGAACTAGTTGGCTTTGTCTAATTACTCTTACCTCAACTTGATTTTTTATTCCCGAAACTAGCTTCTCTTTAGATAACACAACAGCACATCATGACTTTTAATTCCTAGTTTTAAATTTTTATCTTTGGGACATCACATCTTGCACCTGCAGTGGGCTTATCTGTTTGTCAATCTTCAATTGCTCATTAAATTTTTATCTTTGGGACATCACATCTTGCACCTGCAGTGGGCTTATCTGTTTGTCAATCTTCAATTGCTCATGAAATTTCTGAACTTATTAAGAGACCTAAGCTTGAGGCAGGTATTTGTTATGACCCAGAAGATTTTTGGCTGGATTTAGAAAGGTTTTACACTTGAGCATCTTGGTTATCTGGTAAGTAGTAGATTGTGTTGATTTCACCTTTCACATATAATTCTGATGTAGCTTTTATTCCCTGTAGCATTCCATTTTCTGAATCTGATCTGCGCAAGGCCTCTGAATCATTGAAAAGAGTTGCAGCAGCGGTTTTGGCGGCTCATGACTGAATTGAAGAGTGCACATCAGATTTCATTTTATTTTTCCAATGATATTTTAGACATTTCTTTGATTGCGTCAACAGAAAAACTCGGGAATTTTTGTTTCTTGGTAGATGCTTTCATAGTATTTGTATGCATAATTAGTTTGAATTGCATCTTTTGTGCCGATTTGTTTTGTATTAACTTTCAACTTACCACTAGGCACTAGTTTAACTTTATTTCATCTTGGAATTGAAATATTTTTGCATATTGAAAAGCATGAATTGATCCGGTATTGTGTTACCTAAATTTAGTCAATATATTGAATATTTTTCATCTTTATTATAGGTTTTTTTTTTTATTATTTTTTTTGGGGTTAAATCTCACAAAATTAGCACAATTTAAAAAAAAAAAAAACAAATGAAGCTATAGCGGCGTTTTTAAATGCTAGTAGTTATATTTTTAAAATAAAAAAGATCTATCACGACGTATTTAAAACGTCGCTAAATGTAGCATTATCATTATGTAGCACATTTAGCCGCCTATACTAATATAGCGACGCTTTTAAAGCCTCACAAAGTTACAGCGACGGCCGTATCTTCGACGTTTCGTACAAAACGTCACAAAAACAACTAGCGGCGTTTTTGATAGATTTAGTGACGTTTTTTAAACGCCACTAAAAACCTAATTTCCAGCCGTGATCGTTTCGATTCAACGCTGGACTTGTGACTTGTATCAGCATATCCAGAACAAGACTGCTATAGTGGAGTATTTTTCTCAATTGATTTGGTTGGCTTGGCATATCTGGAAAAGTCGGAATGCCTTGGTTTTCAACCACCAACCCACTGATCCTTTTTCCGTCATCTTTAAAGCTGACCAGGACCTCTATGAACATGCTACGGTGGCTCAGTCTATCCATCCTACTTCCATTCTGGTGGATTCTCGTAGAACAAGGGATAGGGTGTGGATTCCCCGTCGGCAGGGCAGACTAAAAGCTAACTGTGATGTGGCTCTCAAACCTGGTACTTCAAGAGTTGCCATGGCAGTGATTTTTCACAATAGCAACAGCTCTCTCGTGGAAGGAGCAGTCCGTTTTGAGGAGGTGGGATCAATTATGCAGGTGAAGCTTTGGCGATTCGATGGGCTTGTCTCATGGCTCGGTCTTTAAATCTATCTTAGGTGGAAATCACTGGTGATAACAAATCTGTTATTTGTCTGTGTGTGTCTGAGGATGATTCTCCTTGGAACTGTGCGCCTATCATTGCTAACATTAGAAGTTTGGCTTAACCAATGTAATTTTTCCTTTCTTTGGACTCCACATGAGGCTAATTGTACTGCTCACTGGATAGCGAGGGTCTTTCTCAATGGTGTTCTTCCCAACAATTGGGTGAGCAACCCCCCTGCTGACTTATGTAAGGCCTTAGCCTTGAGCTAGTAATGCATATTTCGTTGGTCAAAAAAAAAATGTTTCCACCTCCTGCAGCCCTATGAAGTGCTGTCCTTTTTTTGGTGTCACCTAGAGCTAGATCTTCTGGTAACATATGCTTCACTAGGTTCTTCACAAAATTGTTTCTTTGCTTCGACTTCACCGCAACTATGAGCATCGTTTCTGACTCTTCTGTTATGCCTGCCCTGATTGCAGTATCTGGTTCTCGTTTTATAAATTCATTGGCTGCATCCCAGTTACCTTCGATTGCCGCTTTATGCAGTGGTACATAATGACCTGCCCAAGGAATTCTCAAATTTTCGATGTTAGCTATAAATAATGTGCATTTCAAATTCACTTTTTACGTTATGGCACAAGGATGAACCTAGAATTATATCATCTGTTGGGTCTGAAAGAACACATTGGACCTGTTTCCATTAGATAGATGAGTGAAGCCCAGTTCAAAAGCAATTTTTTTTTTTATATAAATTAGGTGAATAAACTCTAAGTGAAAGCTTAATTTCCCTTTGTGATATGGAATGCCATCTCATTGATGACACCTACAAATGCTCTCTTCCTACATCGGCCAAATAATAATGATAGAGGCATTCCACTCTTTAATAAAAGATTATTGTTTTGCTCTCTAGTCCCAGATCACTAGAACAGGTTGTTTTGAGAAATCCTACTCTTTATATTTAAATGCCTTGGGTAAAACACGAACGTTCCTGAGGTATGTTTTTGTGCCACTTTGGTATTTAAATTTTAAATTTGTCAATTTCGTTTTTGAAAATTTGAAATGTAAGTTATGTGTGTCTAAAGTGATACAAAATGCATACTTTAAGATCACAAGTCTTAATTTCATTTATTATTATTATTAAGATATTGTTTGTCTATTGCGAATCTCATGGGATGAGATGGAACAAGGGCGAACGAATGTATGAAGTTCTTACTTTTACCCTCTAACTTCCATTCAAATTTTACTTTTTTAGTCCCTTTATATTTTAACTTTCGCTTGATAGGAGAAGCACATTGAAACTCAAGTTCAAACTTGATAACTTTATTGTTGCAATTATAAGATGAGTAATCGAAGTTAAATTTAAGTCAAAATTTGAAGGTGAAAAGGGTAGTTACCCTTTATTTAATTATTTACTTTTATTACAATTGAATATGTACCTGTGTTTCTATCTATTGGAAAATGCTATGCTCCCACAAAATGTGTAAATTTACTATAAAATTTTATAATATCACAAAATTACACAACTAGGGGTGGGTATTGGCCCATTGGGCCGCCCGACCCAATCCTAATTTTTTTTTTCTCTTTAGAGTTTGAGAAGGTAATTTTATACCATAAGGCCAAGCAACATTTTCAGCCCAATAAATTAATGAGTTAGGCTTGGGATTTATATGGGGGATTTTATTTGATCCAAAATATGTACCCAAAGATCAAAGTTGTTTCTTATTCTTGTTCTTTTTCCTTCTCTTCTTCATCCTCCCTCTAAAACTCCAATCCACTCTACCAAAACTCACCATCGTCATCATCAACATTATTTTTTATTATTTGAAACCCTAAATCCTAGAAGAAAATTTGAACAAAATCAAATAATGGATGAGAGTAATAATCAAAATAGTTTTTTGAAGCAACTCATAAAAAAGGAGATAAGTATTCATATAAAGGGATTTCACAATTTTTACAGAGCACCATCAATTATTTTCCATATCATTTTTTTGACAAAAAATTAAAATTTCTAAGTACTCCAAAATAATTTTTTTTGTAGAGTACCATCATTATTTTTTATTTACACCCAATTTCTGTAGAAATTTTACGCACCATGAAAATTTCTATGTACCATGAAATTTTACACACCCAATTTCTTACGCACCATGAAAATTTCTAAGTACTTCCAAAATAGTTTTTGTAGAGAACCATTATTATTTTTTATTTAAACCCAATTTCTGTTGAAATTTTATTTTTTAGTCAAAAAAACGATATAGAAAATAATTGATGGCACTCTACAAAAATTGTGAAATCTCTTTATATAAATACTTGTCTATTTTTTAATGGGTTGCTTCAAAAAACTATTTTGATTATTACACTCATCCATTATTTGATTTTATTCAAACTTTCTTCTAGGGTTTAGGGTTTCAAAATAGTAAAAAGTAATGATGCTGATAACGATAGTGAGTTTTGGTAGGATGGATTGAAGTTTTAGAGGGAGGATGAAGAAGAAGAAAAAGAAAAAGAAAAAAAAGAAGAAGAAGAAGAAGAAATAACTTTGATCTCTTGGGAAAGAAGATACAGAGATTTGAATAGAAATAACTAATTAGGGTGTACTATGAGAAAAAAAAATTATTTTAGGGTTTAATATGTGTTGTCCTTATTAGTAAATTCATATATAATAGGAATTAAAATTTATGAATTTCAATTGGGCATACTACGACATATTATGGGTTCAAATAGAATCCACTGATTTATATTCTCAACTCAGCTTGGCTCAGTCTAGCCCGACCCACTATTTAATTTAGTAATTTTATTAAAAAATATATATATTTTGGGATCTAAACTTTATCTTTGTTGATTTTTTTTTTAAATTCACATTTATAATGACGTGTAATTGAATTTATTTTAAAAAATCTTTCAATTTATACAAAAAAAAAATCAATTTATAATGATGTCAGTATACTTATTTAATAAGAATTTAATTATAAAATGTTTAATTTTTTTTTTTTTAACATATAGCCCAATTGGTGAGCTTAGGATTTATAATTATTTTTTGAGCCGGGTTTGGGTAAATGTAGAAGCCCGATGTTAGGCCAGGTCGGGCTTGGACAAATACAAAATCCTTTATTATATAGTGTCGGTTTGACCAAGCCCGATGAATGCCCACCACTACTCACAACGTAACAAAATGCTAGCTATCATTAATGTTGGCAAACAAACAAAAATAATTAAATTAAAATGCATAAAAAATATTAAGATGTGTAAAAAATTATATCAAGATTTTAATTTTTTGTCACTAATCTCCCTCAATTAACATGACCTCTTATTTTTGTTAGCATCACCTGTTATTTACATTGAACTCAGAAAAATTGTCAAAGGAAAACTACCATCAATGGAAAAGTATGGTTGAGATTTAAATTATATATTGTAAAATTTATATACAAAATAAATTTAAAAACATTGATATTTCTGAGTAAAAATTATGGATATATTATATAGTATTAATGGTTGAAAAGTAAGTGTAAGGTTGATTATACTAAAAATTTCTTCCAACTTGGTCCACATCTCTTTAGCAGTTCTACTCTACACCACTTGTTCGGGTATATCTTTGGATAGCGTAGATCCGATCCATGCCCGTAGTTGAGCATCTGATCCTTTCCATGAGTTGTAATCCTCGTTCTCTATCTCCTTCACACCCTTATCATCATCATCACCACCACCACCACCACAACCAGCCGCATCTGAGACAACGATTGTGACCCTTTTCACTGGAGTCTCAACCGCACTGCTGACCAACCCATTGTTATGAGAGTAATTCTAATATATTGAATTGAATGAATAATACAATAGCAGAAGACTGCATATATAGGATGATAAGAAACCTAGATAGGTACATAAGAAGATAGAGATACAATGAGACTGAGATAAGTATAGAATGAGATACAGATAGAGATATATTTACAATACAAATAGATAAGTATAATAATATACAGCTAACACCCCCCCTCAAGCTCAAGGTGGTAAGGCAGATATCAACTTGAGCTTGGAGAGGAGATCAGAGAAGCGGCCTGGGAGATGACCTTTGGTGAAGAG